GAGAGAGCGAGAGAGAGATGGAGAGGGGAGGAGAGGGAGAGAGCGAGAGAGAGAGAGAGAGGAGAGCGAGAGAGAGAGAGCGAGAGCGAGAGCGCGAGCGAGCGCGAGCGAGAGCGAGAGCGAGAGAGAGCGAGAGAGAGAGAGGAAGAGAGAGTAGAGTGAGAGTGAGAGAGTGAGTGAGAAAGAGAGAAAAGAGAGATGTTATAGCAGATATGAAGAAGAAATCGTTAAGAGCGGCAAAAGTGCCGGTCCCGTAGCTCAGTTGGTAGAGCGTTGGACTCCGCGTGGTGAGAGCACGCGTTCCCGGTTATGACAGTCCGGGTTCGAAGCGCGACGGGCGCTTGACATTTATGGGCCTCCTGACAGGTATGGTTGCGGTTGGTAGCAGGCCGTAGCCAGGCGAAGTCAGTGGGGGACCGGCCGTGCGCGGCTATGTGCGCACGTTAAACTTTGGACTCTAAATTCTGCCATAGCACTGGAATTTCACGATCGGAGGGTAGAGGGCAGGGTCACCGCAACAAGCTTCGCTTAGCGGTGGCTCTGTCCTTGTGATTCCTTCCTATCAAAAGGTTCGGACTAAATTTATAAAAGAAAAAAAAGAAAGAAGAAGAAGTGCAGTCAAAACTTAGACATTTACAAGTAAAAATAAAATATATACAGTCACCGATATTTAGCTACATGATGCAGTGAAAAATATTCAAGCAAACAAGACCATTAAGACAGAACAAACAGGCAATCTGTGAAGTATATGATGGCAGCCCGAACTGCACGGCATTGCAGGAGACCACAACAAGCTACACCACACTGAACCCGACCATATAAAACCATTACGACAAACCACACTAAACCATTACGATGCGACAGACCATATTGAATCCGACAACCAGACAATGAATCAGACCCTGCTAAACCAGGTCATACTGAAGCAGACCATACTAAACCAGACCATAGTCATACTGAACCAGAGTGTATAACCAGACCCCGATAATATAACACAGTGAGTCCGACCGGGTTTAAAATTAAAACCAGACCAGCTCACAGCGTAGAATCTCAGCACGAGCCAGACCGGTGCACCACTTCAGTACTCTGAACACTACTTGACCAAATTTAGTCTCTGGACAGTGGACTCGGTATCATAATACACAATCAATGCGTTATGGCGACTTGAAGTGGCATCTGAATGCTTCAGCTGACATATGCCAGCCGTTTGGCCGCTCGGAGCTTTCACCAGCGTCGCGTTTGCATATAGAACAGATCTTGGAGACACGTGTCTACTCTGGACACTGGACGAAAATGCAGTCGAAGGATTATAGAAATCCATAAGTGCTCTATGTTTCTGCCATCATTACAGAATGGCCCTCACGTGTAAGGCCTGTTTCCTCACCGGCATCGAATTACCATGAGCATTCCATTGCCCTATTCTTCTAATCGTTATGCCCATATCATTCAACACAATCTTACCATTTTCACCGTGCTTTTTCTATTTTTTTTTTCTACAATGGTTCCACCGAACTATAGAACACGGTAGCGTCATTGAATCCCTTGCCGAGTTGTGTGGTGTCTTAGCAAAGAAAAAAAAACGTGCAGCATCCTTCAGCATCCAGCAAGGCACACATTTCACAAAATCCACCACATCCCCAACAGCAATGACAATTTTGCAGAAGCATTCCCATTCACCACACTAACGCTTTTCAGCAAATTCCAGTGGCTCAAAGCATAAACAATTCCACGATTCCACCAGCTTCAGCTTCTACTTACCGTTGAGGACAACCGTGGGCTTCCGGCATCTGAAGAGTCTGCTGAAACCCTTGCGAAAGGCGTTGTTAAACCCTCCGTAAAGCACGGGGTTCCACAGGGAGTTACTGTACGCCAGGAAGTATGCGAAGAACTCCACGTGAGAGAACCATTCGGGGAGCTGTCGGGAAAAAGAGAAAAAAACCTGTCATACGAGAGGAGGCGAAGAATTTCACGTGACAAAGCCACTCGGGAGCGGAAATAATGTAAAGCACAATATCATACGAGAGGAGACATGAAATTTCACGTGAGAAATCCACCCGGGAGCTGCCGGGAAAGCTCGAAATAACAACACTGTCATTACGAGAGGAGGCGAAAAATTCCACGTGACGAAAACGGGCAGGAGCAAACGGGATTTAATCGATTTTTCAACACAATATAAAACGATAAATGTACAAACCTTTGCCCTGGTTTTTGCAAGGCTCTATGACGTAATTATTGTCAATGCTTCGGGAGGTTACTCGCAAATTTTGAATTCCCTATAGCATGAAAGATCATCCACTGATCAGTAGATCTAACTTCCCATGACTACAGTGTCATGAAAACAAAACTATCTGTCTCCTCTCACGCTAAATCAACCTCCATAGCGTGCCTTTTTCTTCCTAGCATCCTCGCCCAAGCGCAGAAAACCATATCCCTACCGCTCATCAACACTTGATCAACCATATAACCACCCATCACTGGTCCCATATTACGCCTCAGGACACAACCCCCACCCCACCCCACGGCCCACACCCACCCCTTTGGTATCACTCTACTCCGACAATACCCCTCCCCATGGGGGGGAAGGCTAGCGGCCAAAGCTCGTGATTGACGAACTCGAACAGCCTCGGCGGCAGACGCTATTGGTTTGGATTAGATCGAATCGATACAACGATAAATCATGGTATTCTTTTAGAGGAGTAATGTTCGTTTCATTTATTTTAAACTACTCTGTGTTATAGGGCGTGGTGGTGCTATTCTATAAATGTGCTGGATGTAAGGGTTGGGCCATTTTAGCAGCTGTGGACGCACTTAGGGGAGAAAGAAAATAATGGCCAAGGAGGTCAGCGAGGTAGCATGAAATGGTCCCAGCAACAGGAAGGGGCTGTTGAGTGTTGAGTGCTCGGCATTAATGATAGCAACGTTAGGTTGCTAAAAAGGTGGCGTCTACTCGCTTCGTATAGTTGCTAAGTCCGTGGATAAAAAAGAATAGCGTGAATGCTACGAATTGAACTATTAACGTTTATTTAGTTCTTTTATGCATTCTTGAACAAAACATTTTGTGCCATTAAATGTAATCTTTGAAGTCCCAAGATGGTTAACCTTCGCCCCAGTGGGGGGGGGGCATATGTTACCACCCTGTCGCGTTTTTCGCGTGTGAATAAAAAACCGCGGCGCGTAGCGCCGCGCCGCTTGGGGTAGCTTTTGGTACATCAATTTTGGACAATGTGTGAAATTTTTGACCCCAGGTCATGTCAGGTCAGGTCACCAGGTCAAGTTAACTGACCAAGCCTTAAAAAAAGTTTGCAATCATGTCCAGCCTGCAGTGTTTGTCAGAAAGGTTTTAAACTTGATGGATTGCATGCTTCTATGGGAGCCTACAATTTGTATATCTCGTATTTTTTATATCCGTGACCTAAGGTCAGGTCAGTGGCATGACCTTTCCATTACAAGTCAATGGAGAAAAATGAAAATGCCTCTGGATCCGTGTGTACGCATAGGAACAGTCCAAATATTTCAGAATCACAATGATTTAGTCCACTCGTGATGACCAAGGTGTCATCTTTGCTGATAGCCTCTAGAAAGGTCATCCGAGGTCATTTGAGGCTACAAACAGTTTTTTGCCAATAACTCGCGATTGGAAAGAGATAGAACGCTGGGGATGGTCTCATTGTGTTTGTCTTGTTGAGACGCATCGACTGATATGCAACATGACCTTTTCCAGTCAGGTCATGACCTTGACCTGAGGTCAAATTTTTAAGTTGACCTTTCAAGGTCAAATTATAGTTCATTCGATGCGTCTCGGTGAGGGGAACACGATTCTGGCAATAGAAATGTCGTGGCTTTTTGAAGTCGAAAGTTATTGTCGAAAAACACTTTTCGTAAAAACAGCTATTTTTGGAGTTTTTGCCCTCTGGAGGCTAAACCGTTGACCTGAGGACAATATTGATAATGACCTTTTCAAAAGAAGAGTTCAAAAGCTATCGATTGCTTTTCCATGCGTTTTTCTAGCTACCATAGTTCCTGAGATAGCAGCATGTTTTCTAAAAAATATAATGACAATTGGCAAATTTTGACCTTTGATGACCTCTGGTGACGCCAATATTGCTCTAAGGTGAAAAAGACCGAAATACTTTCAAACGTACGTATTGAGAGCTATCGACTGCTTTTTACCGCGTCTTTCTAGCCCTCTTAGTTTTTGAGTTAGAGGTGGGTGGTAACATATGCCCCCCCCCCCCCCCCCCCCACTAGGGCGAAGTTGGCCGAGACCGCCTGGGGCGCGGGTTAATCATAATAAACGACGCTTTTCATTACGAACGCAATTGCTCACAACCATATACCATTTACCTTTGACAGGTCGCGCGTTGTACCCAGTGCAGTAAAAAAAAAAAAACGCTTCCATCTCCATTTCCCTATTTGCTCCCTTTGCCCCCATGAGACAGGTATCAATACCACCAACAAAGCCAGATGATCATTCGCTGACGTCGCTTTCTCGAGGAAGCATGACGTTTTCGCTTACCCTGTCGTATTTGTTGAGCACGCCGAAGAGAATAATGACCTGGAGTGGTGCCCAGCAGACGACAAACACCATCACCACCATCACCACCATCTTCACCACCTGTGGAGATGAGGAAAATCACCATCAGCACCAGTCTACAAACACGATTACCAGCATAACAGCCAAGCTCCGGATAAGCACTATTGATGTCGCAGACATCAGAAAAATACCATCACCAATCACCATCTTCACCACCTGGAAGGAAGAAAAAAAATAAAAACAGTCTATGAATGCACGATAACCAGCATCATCTCTCAAAAGTCAGACAAACACTGCTGACATCATCTGCAAACATGAGACAAACATCAGCACTATCTTCACCACATACAAATAAAAACAAATCACTGTCAATTCAGCTGTTTATCATTGCTTACAAGTATTTACCACTTGCAAACAATACGCTCACACAGTGAAGCCCTTGTGCGAGTTGTACGTAAAAGAAAAGAAAAACGTATCGTAGAGCCATGACGTTCCTATTTCTATCCCGTGGACCATTTTCCTAGTAAAGCACTTCTCTTTTCCACAAAGCCTAGCTATTTGAAAACCAGCGAGACCCTCAAAGCCATCGATTCAATAAATGGCAGCCCACTGTTTGTGCTCAGATTCTCATAAAGCGCTATCGAACGTTTCAAGAGAGGCGGTTCCATGAGGGCGTAGCATGAGGGCGTATCATGCGGGCATATCGGGGGAATATCATGAGGGTGGTATCGAGTGTGTTACAAGTGGGGAGTCAGCTTTCAGCAACTCAGGGGAAGCGTCATTAAATGTCTCATGGCGTGACTTTAAATGTCTCACGGTGCGTCGTTAAGCGTCCTACACGACCGCTGACCGCAGTTAAAATCTGTTATGGTCTTGGGGCTGCGATATTGTCAACTCGCAATGCATGCTTTTCTTCTTGACCATCAAAGACAAGAAAGACAAAAAAAGCCAATAGCGAGAGGAAAATTTTGCAAACATACGTTTTAGAGCATTTATGTTCATTGAACTTCGCGAAAGACAATTTTTTATGATTTTTCCTTTCACATCAAAATGATACAGAGAAAACGTTTAATCAATGGATGCGTATAGAAAATAAATAGGGAAAAAAAGATCCTTGTCCTGACGTATCAATAGATATCTCCATCCGAGCCCGAGGTGATCCGGCAAAAAGCACTCCCTTCCATGAAGCACGTTCTCTCAGAGATCTAACGCAAATAGCCAGTAGCAGCATGGGCGCGTAGCCTGTAGCAACATGGCGTCCCCATTACCGGATCTATTGCTATATCCATGGAACAAACACAGAGTGTCTGAGACGTGCGCTGAGAGAAACCATGTGGCTGTTCAGCGCTTTTTGCGTGCTGGTGCAAACAAGAACAGCGCTGAGTGTGTTCTCTAATAAGCGCAGTGACGGTGCATTGATAAAAAACATGGGAGGACAAACTCTATAAAAAAAAACTTAGATCTGCTCACTGGCTACGGTCACAGGGGATAAGAAAAAATGCAGATAAAACGTTCCTAATGAGAAATAACTTCCTGCAAAAGGTGCGAGCTTGTGCAAACAATCCAAACAAGCCAAAATGCAACCCAAACAAGCCAACATGCATGTGCACTGCAAACTCCTTTAGCCCTCTCCAATGATCTACCCTGCCCATTGTTAATAAACTACCTTATATAATCCACGCGGCAGTGCATGTTATGCCGAGTTCCTGAAATCGCAATAACCATTAATCACTTATCTTGCCATTCCGCACGGGGTTTAATGTATTCTGAACCATAAACGATGTTTAATATCGGCAGTTTTCTGCGAAAGTACTCCCATTGGAGCGGCATTTGGAGACCAGCATTCCGATGATTTGATAAATGGAATTGAGTGCCCATTAAAACGGTAAATATTGTGTTTATTTGTTGTTAAAAGTCGCAATATGTCCACGGTCCATTTTGATGAAAATATTTAGTTAATTGTCATAATATACATTAATTTATAGTTATTTATATATTAAAATCAAAGCGACAGTTACCCTCTCTTGCATTTAAAGGCTTTATATCGTCGCTCATTTATTCGTTATTTTAGCGATTAAATCAATCGATCCTATAATTTTATAAGTTAACCAAGCTATAGCCAAGCTTGAGCCTACTAACCACCATAGCAAACGATTCATAAGCAAGTTATTCTGTATTCTAAGAGGTAACCAGAAAAAACGAAACGACAAATGGCCGACTTTTAACCCGGCAGTTGCTGGGGTATTTCGCCACCCACCGTTTGCTGGGGGGGGGGGGGGGGCGTTAAACGCGCCCAGCCGATAACTCGAGAACCAATAGGCGCAGCGAAACGCACGAGGCGGCAAACGAAAGAACGCGACGAGACGCTTCAGATGAGTACTTTTAAGTTGAATTTTGAGGTCACAGGTCGGGTCAAGGTCAGGTCAAACACCTGAAATCGGGCTTTCAGTAGCATGGACTTCAGGACTTCGCAATGGGCGCCTCTCGTCATAAACTCTGTCAAAACGGTGCACAATCCATCATATAAGGCCTACAAGAGTGTCAGCTCCATGTAGGGGTCAGTCAAGCATAGGTCAGGGTCAAGGTCAGGTCAACCCGGTAGGCACATATCCTCGAAAATCAAAACTGATATTCGCAGCCTGTGACACATGTTTTATGGGTAATTTGGGGCGTAGAACACGATGGTGACATTCATTTTACCATATCTGTACGTGTTTGGCTACAAAAGTTCAATTTAAGAAATGCATGTATCATGGTCGTCAAGTAGTCACGAGAAATTGCCAAGATTCAGTTCAAGATTTTGGAAAATGCGGAACGATAATCAATAATCGAAGATAGCCATTTGATTGTTCATAGTATTGGCAGTCTAATGGCGTTTACGGCATGTCTGTATGTCTATTTTGTGATTTTATATGATTTTTTGAACATATGCCGTTTTTGGTCGAAAAGTCAGAAATCATGACGTCACTAAAACCTCGATATCTCAAAAATTTTCCGACCGATTTTTTTGAAACTTTGTCACAATGAACTTCAATCAATTCCCTACAGGTACCCAAAATTTGGCGCGCCTGCGGCGCGCCGTTTTTATGCTATGGCCCGGCGAAAAAAGTGGGGGCGTTTAACGCCCCCCCCCAGCAACTCGCGGGTTAAGGTCGACGACTGATCTGAATCACATAAACGCTATAGATCAATACCAGTAAAACGCCTTTTGGGCGAAGAACGAGCGAGCGAGATAGTGAGCCCTACACGTGCGGAAGGGCGAGAGGGTACTTCCAACGGGCTTGTGCAAAGCACCCTTCTAACCGGTCGCTAGTGGTGTGCCAAATTTAGACGCAATCGGCCCAGCCGTTCCTGAGATCTGGAAGCGGCAGTCTGCACGTGCGCACGTGCAAACGGGGTCCAAACTGACTTTTGTACGGCACCCTGCTAACTGGTCCCCAACCGTGTACCAAATTTGAGCGCAATAGGCCCGCCCGTTCTCGAGATCTGGGAGCGCCCCCTGCACGTGCGCACGTGCAGTAGCACCCTAACCGCAACACATGGAAATGCATTGCCTGGTGGGTGCCTACCTGTATGCCAAGTTTCAGCGAAATCGCCCCAGTAATTACCGAGTTACTGAAATGGGAACAAATTTGGCACCTCTTCTTTTGCATTTTGCACGTGCAGTGGCGGTCACTCACATAGATCAAGAGTATCCGATCTTTGGTAGAAGGGATGCAGCCACCCTACAAAAATTACCGCAAGCCCAAGCGGCTGCTGAGATATGGGCCTCTCAAAATCACTACTTTTGCAAAACAGCTTGAACACCCTTGACGTTTCACGCGGCACGTGCCACGACGGTCACTGAGATGAGTCAAAAGTAGTCAATTACGGGGTAGAAGGGATGAGGCTACCCGGCAAAAAAAGACCGCAGGCCAATCGGTCCAGCGGTTGCTGAGATATAAGCTTCTCAAAGGCGTTACAGGCCGGGCCGGGCCGGGCCACTCATACTGAGATTTTTCCGTTATATTGAAAAGACTCGCTTCACTCGCTGCGCTCGCTCGCTCGTAAACAGCCGAACCTTTAAATTACGTTTTATTAGCTCAGGTGGCTTCGGCAGTTCAAGAGTCACGTGAACCAAGCGACTCAAGAAGGCTCAAATTAAAAAGAAGCTCAGCATGAAGGGTCAAGTGTCATATCGATTATAAAGCTGGAGAGCAGAGATGAACCAAAAAGCTGTCTTTGTTACACTTAAATAAAACTAAACACCAGTAAAACGCCTTTTGGGCGAAGAACGAGCGAGCGAGATAGTGAGTCCTGCACGTGCGAAAGGGTGAGAGGGTACTTCCAACGGGCTTGTGCAAAGCACCCTTCTAACCGGTCGCTAGCGGTGTGCCAAATTTGAACGCAATCGGCCCAGCCGTTCCTGAGATCTGGAAGCGGCATTCTGCACGTGCGCACGTGCAAATGAGGTCCAAAATGACTTTTGCACGGCACCCTACTAACCGGTCCCCAACCGTGTACCAAATTTGAGCACAATCAGCCCAGCCGTTTTCGAGATCTGGAAACGCCCCCTGCACGTGCGCACGTGCAGTAGCACCCTAACCGCAACACATGGGAATGCATTGCCTGGTGGGTGCCTACCTGTATGCCAAGTTTCAGCGAAATCGCCCCAGTAATTACCGAGTTACTGAAATGGGAACAAATTTGGCACCTCTTCTTTTTGCATTTTGCACGTGCAGTGGGGGTCACTCACATAGATCAAGAGTATCCGACCTTTGGTACTAGTAGAAGGGATGCAGCTACCCTATAAAAATTACCGCAAGACAATCGCCCAAGCGGCTGCTGAGATATGGGCCTCTCAAAATCGCTACTTTTACAAAACTGCTTGAACACCTTTGACTTTTCACGTGGCACGTGCCACGACGGTCACTGAGATGTATCAAAAGTAGTCAATTACGGGGTAGAAGGGATGGGGCTACCCAGCAAAAAAGACCGCAGGCCAATCGGTCCAGCGGTTGTTGAGATATAAGCCTCTCAAAAGCGTTACAGGCCGGGCCGGGCCGGGCCGCTCATACTGAGATTTTTCCGTTACATTGA